TCTTTGATCATACGAATGGACTTCGATGTGAATCATTTGAATGAAGAAATTAAATTCGTAAATGAAGAAATTAAACTCAACAAATTGAGACAAGCTTCTTGTTTAAGAACCGAATGTTTCGAAAATAATATGGATAAATCATTATTTTTCAGGCGCCCTCGGTGCTCAACATTTTAGGAATAATTAAATGAAAAGATCCTTAGCACTGAAACACGGAACAAGAAGGGAAAACAGAGTGGGCGCCAGAGTGGGATTCAAATGATGGAATTCAAAATTATTTTCATAAATTATTTATTACAGTAATACCTGACTTAGTGCAAATCCTGGAAAATTAATTCACATTTGGATGAAAGCGAGTGGCAGATCCCCCGAAGGTCTCTTTTATGATTCATTACAACATCGAGATTTGAACTGTAATATATAAAATAAAGACAATTCAGTAGAGAAGTGGTCAAACGGTTCAAGTCGATTTTGGCTATTAGCCAGTTTTCAATGAATATCTCGAAATCTAAGGGAGATAGCAAAATTTTTCTCATTACCTTTTTAGTAGCCCTCAATTCGCTCTACAAAAAAGGTAATTATGCAAATTTCGCTATCTCCCTTAAATTCGGCAATATTTCCGGAAAACTCAACTAAAGGCTAAATAGACTTAAACCGTTCTCTAATGAATATACTAATTTCCAAAAATCCAAACACTTCAAGCCAACCCTGCTCCCCACCATCTCAAAATCATGATATTACTCCTTTCACCCAATGAATTCCCAATTTCAGATAAATCCCCTCCCCCGCCGCCCGTGTTAAATTGTGAATTGCCAAAGGGATTGATATACGATGTGCACATACAACACCCGAGCACAGATAGAAAGCTTTTAGGATACCCCGAAATCCCACTCTGTTCTCCCATATTCACTATTTCCAAAATAGTTGCCAGTAACCGATAGAATCGAGTTCGCAAACTCGGCCGGAGCCTCCGGTATATTCCGGTTGTATTGTAGCTTTCCTACCTTGCTACAATACATCCCCCCCCCCTCCTCCTCTCTCCGCCAGCCCTAGCCGTCCGCCCAATCCTATGTGGCCCTCCAGGTTCGGCCAACTTTGGCTGACGTTCACTAACTCCTGCCGGCGGCGCATCACGTTTTCGCGGAAGACCTCGATTAGATTCTCTGTTGGATGAGCAAGTGAGGGTGAGAAGATGGGAAGGGGCAGTGAGGTAGCATCGTTTATTGCCACCGAGTTGGGTTGTACACTGAACCCCCCGCCCCCCTCTCCGCTCTTTCTGCCGCGACTGTAGCCTCCCCACCCCTCCTCCGCAGGTCTGATTGATTGAGACGGAGGGCTTTTGCGCGCGTGGTTTTCTCCACGGTACAGTGTAGAAACACTTCTCGCCCTCGAGACACGTGCTCCGTCTCAAACATTTCGTTCATCCTCAATCCTAAAACCCTGCGGGTCGAGGTATTGCCAAATTGGCAATCGATGAAATTGCAATACTGGTAGAATCGATGTACTTTCGCGCCCACTCCTTTTCGTTCTTGTTGCAAAACCCGTTTTTCCAATGGGGTTTGTGGAGGTGTGTGTCGGGTGTTGTTGGGTAAACAACCACTCTTGAAATACGCTTACCATCGTCTTGTGTATCGATACGTTTCTTCTTCGTTCTCCTTGTGTGACATCGCATCATTTATATCCGTCTGTCAACACGCGGAATGACGATTTGTTGGGGTGAAGAAAAGGGTTGGGAGCAGGGTTGGGGGGTGCGGGGGTACGAATTTGTGGAATTAAAAAATTGAGGGTTGTGGGAGAATTTAATAGTTGTTGGATTGAAGCCGCCCTAACAATGTGATTCCCTTTTAATGATGATTACATCGCTTTTAAAAGAACAGTGAGCATTTTTTTTATTCATTTATTCAATTACACGATTTGATCAGTTGATTTTTAAATAATTGTGAAGCAGAAAACAATCCAAATGATTCTTCCTTTCAAGAGCTTATTGAGTAATAAAATGTTCCAACACTTTTACCCAATATCCTACACAAAAAATTTTAACTAGTGTCTACAACAGACTTTTTTTTTATCCTATATGTGCAAAACAATCAAGTTCAACCCAAAAAAGCAACCAACTCCTCGAAATCTGTGTAATTTGTAATTCAGTAGCGAAGTGGTCAAACGGTTTAAGTCGATGTTGACAATTCGTCAGTTTTCAACGAATATCTCGCAATCTAAGGCAGATAGCAAAATATCTCGTATGACCTTTTCGGTAGAGCACATTAAGAGCTTCAACAAAGATATATACGAAAATTTCGCTATCTCTCTTAGATTTGGAGATATTCCTTGAAAGCTCAGCTAAGAGCTAAGTCGACTTAAATCGTTTGCCCACTTCACTACTGAATTAATAATTGACCTTTTTGGGGTCTAGTGCAGTTGTATAGGCCTGCGCTTGATGCCTCGGATACGTACTTGGAGCCGAGTCGCTACCGCACCTCTTCCTTTCCGAAGGCCATTCTCATTGCAGAGCCCGTCCTATTCAAAATCCCAAAGCACTCCAGATATATTGAGAATATAATCTCCCTCTCCTTATTCCGCATCATTACCCATTTCTGGAATCCCAAAGTCGACGTCTTATCAAGCAATAAACTATCCCAAAACTGTCACCCAAAATCCTTCACGAAATACTCCGCTACATTGAAACTCAATTACGATCACGTGGTGTACACGTGTCGGGGATTGTAGCCCAGTGAGCTCCCCGGGTAAGAGCACTCAGTGCATCTAGCTTTTAGATGAAAAAAAATTTCTCCTCTCACCCCGACGATTATTAAACTACTCCAAGGCGTTTTCCATCGCTCGATTCACCGAGAATGAATGTCGTACTCTTGATGGTTTACGGTATATAAATCCCCCGCTTTATACTCAGCGGGACGATTTTGGCCTGTGCATGGGGAACCGCACGGCAGGAGGGTGAGAATATCGTGATAAATTCCACGTGATCTTTGATAATCTCTCCCGGGGGAGTGATCCAGCCCTGAAAACGCTTTTTTGATTCACCTCTTTTTTACACCCGACACTTTATCGCAACACTCACCCCTCATTTGTTCACACCACCTATAGATGACTTTCATCATTACGAAATACTTGCATTTTCCCAAATGGCCTCAACTCGGTGAGAAAATGCCGGTAATATCCCATTACAGGACATTTACACGGAGAGAAATATTCAATAAAAATTACGTATCTTTTCCGTAATTCCGGAGTGAAATGTGGTTGTAGGAAATTTTACGGAACTGTCACGGAATTTTTCTAGAGGGTTCCGTAATTTCTAGCTAATCCCCTGTGAAAAATTACGACACCCTCACTTACATTTTCTGAGTCGATTCCGTGATCGGTGAGCGAATTATGAGTTCCGTAATTTTTACTGAACATCCGCTACACTTTTTGGAATTTGCTTTACATTATCGATCCTCTAGGAAGCTGAAACTAGCGAAAGATTCCACAGCAGAAGATTTGTCTTGGGCGAATCTAGGGGTGTACAAATGTTTTTACGTAATGTACAAACTCTTTCGCACTTGAAAAACATTTTTACATATGATTATTTGACTCTCCTACCCCTGAATCCCGCTAAATTGGATTTTCCACTGACAGATACTCTGATAGTTTCAGCTTCATAGTTCCTCTGAAGTCTTAACGAATTTCGTCATAGAAAATTTGAAATTTTCAAATTTTGTGGGGAAATCGCGAGAAAATTCATAAAAATGAGGAAAATTTATGCCAATCATGCATTTGACTTTTTAATTGATTGGACATTCAGCGTCACTGGGTATTGAACATTCATGTTTTGTCCTCGTCACGATCAAAAGTTCAGAATTCCATTAAATTTTCCATGAAATTTAAAATTACATAAAAAAATAGTAAATAAAAATAGTAAATAGTAAATCGTTTAGTTTTTCTCCTAAACTACCCACACATTTCCCAGAATCACTTTTACCAGCATCAGACTGTATCCCGATGAACGAGAGTGCGATGATCGTGCATAAATATTTTTTCTAGGCCTCCTTTCCTCGGGATAAATACCCGATCACCCAAAAATACGAGCCCAGCACCCCGACATTTTTGTTCTACGGTCATCGCCAGAGCACCTCCCGGCGAAAACTTTTTCCACATGTCCATCAAAGAAAGAAACAAGCGAATATTTTCATCATCCACACTCGCTACGGCAAAAACAACTTTGCAAACTGAATCAGTCACATCAAAGGAACAAACTTTCCACAATATCCCAGGTTTGTTGGAAACTACACCGAAAATTCTCCGCGTTACACCCCTAATACCGGAAAACGTCAACAACAGATACATATTTTCGCGCTTTCCTGAGAGACCACCGTGAAAAAACCCCACGAAACTCATCCGAGAAATCGTAAACAGTATTTGTTACACGTCTAGCTGACTGAGAGTTCTGAAAGAAAGAGTAGAGAATGGATGCTGCCCAATTTCATTAAATTCACATCCCATTTGGTCTTTTCACAGATCGACGGAAGCCACAATTTCTCACTCCTGGTGCCTTCTTCCAGGGGGTAAGAGTCTCACTTCCCCCCCTTTCATCCACCCCAGCGGCGGGGAGGGGTCGTAATACGTGCCGATGCAAAGGGGTTGATTTCTCGAGAGTTGAGGGGGAACGGCACAAGGGGAATAAAGGATAAAAACGAGACGCACAGGAATGAAGAGGATGCTCCTTGCCACGGGGAGAAGGGTGCAAAAGTACGGCGAGGACGCGTGCAGGGTTTTTCAGACAGCTGAAGCGTGTGGATTCGGCTATGGGTGAAAAAGGGTGCACGACGGAGCAAGGGAGAAAGCTAGCGAGCGACGGAGAGGGGATGAACGCACACAAAACACAGAAGCGCTCGGGGGTGGGGGTAGACCGAGGGCGATCAAGGAGTGGGGGCAACCCAGCAGAAACCAGTCGAGTCCCGGTCTCAGGTCGCGTCGGGCCGTTTCAGTTTTCAGGCGGGTGCCGTAGCGCGCGTATGGCTTCTCGCTGGTAAACACAATCAACGTGTAACCATTCAAATTGATGACAAGTTGTATCTCCAGGAAGATTACTCCAGTGAAGAGGAATTCTTGAGGAGATTTTTTAACAATTGAAGACATGTGTGAAGATTGAGGGGATTTGGAGAATTATTTTTTTTCGGGAGGAACTGTGTCCTAGTTTTCGGCAGCTTGGGCCGGGTGTTTCGAGGGACTGCACATTTTTACAGTCGATACGGGAGAGGTCTCTCGCCTCTGGGAAAATTTATTTCACAGGTGGATTTATCGGGGCTAGTGTCCCCGCACTTGTGAATATTTTGGGGGATTTTTTTTTTCGAGGGCTCGTGATTTATCGCACCTCAATTGGGTTGTAAACGTGGTTAAAGTGACAGTGACAGTGGGTTACTTGATACAGTGATTGTGCGAGTTTATTTGTTTTTATGGTTTTATAACTGGTGGGTGTTGTCGGGTGATATACGGATTATTTTTGGTGGAGATTTGTATCGAGCAGAGACGTTAACCCCCCCCCCGTGCTGGATCGTTAACGGAGAATTTTGGAGCAGTTTTCCGAGTGGTAAGTGCTTTTATTATTGTTGAATTCTAGATTCGCCCCGGTGGGATTGCGGTGTATGTTCTAGTTATGAGCACACTGCACGGGGTTCGATGCGAGAGGGTCTCGAAAAAAAATTGTGGAAAATCGTGATGCGTGTAGTTCAAACGTTCAAGTGGTCCTTCAGGCGGAATCTCTCCCTCGATTGAGCCCTCGAGGATGAGAGAAAGACTTTTGTCTGCAAGAGGTACACAATCTTGTTGAACCCTTCTTACTCAACCGATATTTTATGTGGGTTTTTGTACAGAATTCTTCCCTCGTGTGCTTTCAAAACACGTCGCATGCCTGTTCATCGAGCAGCAAAACATTTCCAATTTCGTGTGTTGTATTATTTTCCTCAGTTGTTATTGTTCGCGTGATAAGAATCGATAATTCATTCATGCCCTCGTGTGTCAGTGGCTCGCTGACTTTCATTCATGAATCAAGGAAAAAATATTGGTCATTTGTGGTGGAGAATGACGCGAGTGACACGCAACCGAAAATTATGAAAGATGAAAAAAATGGAATTTCACATTCTCGTTGGTAAAAAAGCCCATTAGCACCCGAATTTAGATGGTGATAGGTTTCAAGCGATAAAAATCCACTTGAAAATAGTTTTTTCGTCGGGGGGGCTGGAGTGTTTAGTGGGTCAAACACCTCTGACTGAGGATTAATCAAAAAACGTGACGAAAAACCGAATGATTGGGGAGTTTTTCCACGTGCTTGTTTCCTCCCGCGACTCTTCTATTATCATCTGTTCCTCTTTACGATGATGCACGCGTAAACGGTATACAATCGGAAGCCGTCTTTCACGTGAACCGGTATATCGTTATACCCTTCCATCCTTCAATAATCCTGCACCATAATACACGCTTTCGCGAGAGTGAGACAGGGGCGCATCGAACGTGCTCGGGAAACCGGTAAATCAACTCGTTCTTTCCTTCGATATCCTCGGAATCATTCGATGTCGGCATCGTAAATATCCGTCAGATCGGCCAATCATCCACTGGGAATCATCATCTCTCTGACGGCAAAACACATCCGGATAATCATTTTTCATGGTGCTGTCTATTTCTTTGTTTTTCGCGGATCACCATTAACAGTCCATTTTCCCTAAATCGTTTCGTCTGAACGTTTCTGCGTCACTGCAGAATTTCCACAGAACGAAGGATAATTCCAAGAGAATTTATCCTTCGTTCCGTGAATTTTCTTCCTCAAAAACTATGATATGCAATGAAAAAACTAAATTATTCCTGAGGGAATCATTGCGGTACAATAAATTATATATTTATCTACCGACAGTTCGAATTCTTCTAGAGATATTTCTAATGTTCATAACACAATTTTTTTTTCTATATCTTAAATTTACTCGCATCAATTTCATGTTTTGTTTTCTTTGAGTATGTGTTCCACTCCATCAAATATTCTCAAGTAAAACATATAATTCGTCAGCAAAACTGAATTTCTCTCTCAACGCATTGATTGCGATGATAAATCCGAGGGAGATGACACGAAAACAATGGAATTGTTGATATTTACATTCCCGATTCGTCACACTCCTGAAAACCTCGAAAATAGAAAATTCCAGGGACACGTGTCCCAAAGTATCCCGGAGGGGTGTTATTTAGTGTTCAATCTATGTCGATTCATTGTCAAAAATTCAGGATATTTCGGGCGAGAATCACGACTGACCCCTCGCCGAACCAAATGGAATTACAGGCAATCGCGTTAAAACCGGAGGGGAAATGGGAAGAAATGGGCCACAGTAGTCTGTTCTGGAGTAAAATTGTGGGGGGTGGATAATGAATAAGGGACAAATCCGGGATACACACTTAGACCTACAACTTTTGTCCATTGGGTGACAAGAGAAATGAGAGTATCGGAGCAATGATTTATGGATACAATTATTTTTCCCATATCTCGTTATATTTTCGTGTTGTAATTGGTTAAAATTACGAGTTTTTGATAATTTTTTGCATCATATTTTATGAGTTTTCAAAGTGGTGATAAAAATATGGAATGCACGGATATTATGCTTGGAAATAATCCGTAAAAATTTTGAACACTTCAAAAAGTTCGTCGAATATTTTACTAGAAAAATTCGCGTTCATTGAAAGCGTGTCTTTTTTAATTAAATTATTTCAACCGAGATACACAAAAAATGCGAGGCTAAACGTCGTCAAACCCTTAAAACAAAGTTTAAAGTGCGTAACACATAAGTTAATCTCAAAAACCTGAAGAAATGATGCATGTAGAAAAAACAAAACTCTTCATTTCGTTCAACAAAGCATTATCGCACGTTAATAAATTCCTTCTATTCGCTATCTAAACAACAATTCTATGCTTGATGTGTTTATATCTGAATAAACTATTAAATTGGTACGAAAACCGCAACCTAAAGTTGATTTTAGTCAATTTATTAAATAAAAGAATAAATAATCAAATGAGTAAACTAGATTCAACTCTAAAACTTTGATTCTAACGTAAAGTTGATTTTACGTTATTTATTTATATAATGACATGAATAAATGAATAAATAAATAGGCTAAAATCAACTTTATTCCAGCCAAAGAACCATTTCTCTAGGGAAACCATCACCTCATCCCCCCTTCCACTAAATGACCATTGAATAATATCGGGCGTTGACATTAAGAATAAAAAACCCCCCGAAAAAAGCGTGTTGCGAAGCGGTTCAACTTTTCCCTGAAGATACTAGTGGCAAGTTTCGCGCCGTCGAAAGGACGCAATTTCCATAAGTTGAAAAATGGCGCTTCTCCCCGCAAAGTGAGAAAAGATTGTCGTCGGGGACGTAGCGTCGCGTCGTACGTCCTCGTCCCCGGATTTGCAGTGGGGCGGTTTACTCCGGAGATAGCGAGGTAAAGGGATATCCCCGAGAAGCTCTCCGTGAGTTTAAGCCATCGTACATTAGCCCCTGAAAAGAGAAAAGAGGTAACCGGGTAGGTGCAACCACGTAATCTCCCCCTCCTTCCTGCCCTCCTGTTTCTTCACATCTCAAGTTTTCGTGGTATGGCCTCCGTCTCGTTTATATCTCCTTCAAGCTGATCCAGAACGCTACCGTTGCCCTCTCGCTTCCGCGAAACCCCCCGGAATTCGCTCGGGTTTGCGCCGGAGAGAGGTAAAAAAGGAGGAGAAACGGAGGAGAAAAAAAGTCAGGGAAATAAATATAAAGGAAACAAATTCTAAAAAGCAATGCCCGGGAACGTCCCTCCGGCATTATCCCATCATTTTGTCCCCGCGTTTCAACAAATCGTTGATGCACAACCAATTACGCGAGTTTCACTCTTTCGTTGTACCGCCAAAACGATGCACCAATCAGTCTATAAATTAATGATATATCTCGGATAATAATTAGTGGAATGTGGGGATTACATTCGTTAACGATCAAACGTGCGGTTGTCACGGGTGAGAGAGGGATGCGTGGGGCGCGCCACCAATTAACGTTGCAATCCGCGGGGTTGCCATCGCGCAATTGTTTTTTTTTTATTTTCTGGGATTATTTTCGGTATTTTTTGGATTAGCTGGATCATTTGATCTTTGCGGATGCATGGGGAGGGGGGAATTTAATGAAAATATTGTTGAAAGGGAATGAGGGAGAGTGGAGTCCTCGGTGGAACGCGAAAACAAATTTTTTTATTTTTGGTTGGGTATTGAATTTCGGTAACGAGTGGTTTTGGGGGTAAATGGGCGGGAGATACTTTTGGGAGGTCATTTTGGAGAATTTGTTACACGGGTTGAATAGGGAATTAGAAAATACTACATTGGTGCACTGATGGAACGGTTTAGTCGAACCAAACGGGACTTTTTAACTATTACCACGATTCGTTAACTATTAAGGAATGGCGGTAACAGTTAAGAAGCCTCATTTGGTGCAACTGAATCGTTCCACCTTTTCTGTCAGTATAGAAAATTACTCCCGAAATTTGAAGTAAAATGTATTGAAATTTTGAACAATCATTCATTCACACGAAATTTTCAGTCGTTTATTATTGAAAAATCTGTTGAATTCTGGAGTATTCAATGGAATTGCTATTGCTAGTCCTGAAATATCAGGAATTTATGTGGAATTTTCAACCTGAATGAGAGATTCCATGCACAATTTGATCGTAAATTGAATTCAAATTCACAATATTGAGAATTAAAGTGCAATTATTGCTTAATTTTTCAAAAATTTCTAACAGTGTATTCATTTTTTCTTCGATTTGTCGAATATAACAAATAGAAAAAACGATGATAATTAATTTTTTCCTCGTATATTCGATGGGAGAGGTAATGAGATGATGTTATTGGGAGTGAATATACAGAATTCAAGTGAATTTTTCATATTCTGTCAAATGCAAAAATGTCAAGAGACAGTTTCTACCAGAAATGTTAACAACTACAAATTATTTTCCCAATATTTTCTTCTAAAACAAACAATTTTGTACATGAATTCGCTCCTGTCAAAAATAATCTACACATTCTCTTCGATTTTTCGGTTATGAAATAGTATATTTCGATAGGTAAAAATATTTTTTGACCCAACATTTTTCATCACAATGTTTGGAAGATCTGACTTTACGCACAAGTGATAAAAAGAAAATAAAGAAACCGCAATGTCTTTCAACATGTTCTCCTAAAACCAACAATTTCCGAAACAAATCCGCGACTATAAAAAGTATTTTATACTTTCCCATCGATTTTCCGACAATAAAAAAAAGAAGAAACACGGAAATTGAATTCCTCAATTTTCGGGCGCGGCGTAACATCCATATTGTCCCGGTGTCGTTTTTTCCTGTACGTGCGGAGTATCACAATTGAGCTGTTGAAGTGTTGGATACTTTAAAACCGCCAACGGTGGGGTAGAAAACAAGTAGCCAGGGCATTTAGACATTCATGTATACACCGGCGGCTTGTCACACGTGTTAATTGCCGGTGAATTAACGTATGCACATTCTCATGACTCCCACCGACAAGAAATTCCCCAG